GGCGGGGAACATGGAGATGAGGGGGAATGGGGGGTCGGGGGACACGGAGAAAAGAGTTTTGCGTGCATATGTTAACATTAGCCATATTAACCAATTCTAAGTGTACAATTCAGTGACGTTAGTTGCATCCACAACGTTGTGCAGCCGTCACTACTGTTCCTAAGACCCCGTCATCTTCCCAGAGCCTCTGTAACCTTTAACGATAATCTCCCACCCCCCTCCACCCCAGGTCCCTGTTTAACCTCTAATCTACTTTTTGGCTCCATGAGTTTGTCTATCCTAGGAACCTATTAGTGGAATCATCAGTATTTGTCCTTTGGTGTTTTGCTTATTGCGTTTAGCACAGTCTTTTCTGGATTCTCCTTTGTTGTAACGTGAGTCAGGGTCCCTTGCTTTTCAAGGTGTCATGCTGTCCCGTGGTATGTGTGCACCACATCTTGTGTGTGCCACGTCTTGCTGATCAATTTCTTCATTGATGGACACTTGGGCTGCTTCCACTTTTTGCCCACTGTGAATAGTGCTGCAGTGGACATATTTGTTTGAGTCCTTATTTTCAATTCTTTCGGATGCGTACACCTACATTTGGGCTTGCTGGGTCTGTGACTGGGTCTGTCACTCTATAGTGATTCTGTATTTAATTTTTTGAGGAACTGCCTGACTCTTTCATGGCAGCTGTACCCGTTTTACATTCCCAGCACTGATATAAGAAGGTTCCATTTTCTCCCTGTTCTTACTCACGCTTGTTTCCTGTTGTTTTTTAATAGCCATCTAATCGGTTTGAAGTGGTAACTGGGTAGCTCATCTTGTGGTTTTGATTTGCATTTCCCTGAGGACTGACGATGTTCAGCATCTTTTCATGTGCTTGTTAGCAATTTGTGTGTCTTCTTTGGAGAAATGTCTGTCCAAGTCCCTTGCCCATTTTATAATTAGATTGTTTACTGTTTGTGAGTTGCAGGAATCATTTATATATTCTGGATATTAATTCTTCATCAAATATGTGATTTGCAAATCTTTCATTCAGTAGGTTATCTTTTCATTCTGTTGGTAATGTCCATCGATGTACAAAAGTTTTTAAGTATGATGAAATATATATATTTTGTTCTTTTGATAGCATATCATATAATCCATTGCTAAGTCAAAGTTATGAAGATTTACTCCTATATTTTCTTTTAAGAATTTTATGGGCTGGGCACGGTGACTCAACCTGTAATCCCAGCTCTTTGGTAGGCCGAGGCGAAAGGATTGCCTGAGCCTGGGGGTTCGAGACCAGCCAAGACAACTTGATAAGACCTCGTCTCTACGATAAATCACAAAAAAATTAGCCAGGCATGGTGGTATGCGTTTGTAGTTCCAGCTACTTGGAAGGCTGAGGTGGAAGAATCACCTGAGCCCAGCAGGTCAAAGCTGCAGTGGCCATGAGCATGTCACTGCATTCCAGCCTGGGTGACAAAGAGTGAAACTCCCAACTCAAAAAAAATAAAGAATTTTATGATTTTAGCTTTTAAGTCTAGCTCTTTGATCCTTTTTTTTTATGTGGTGTGAGGTTAGGGTTTCACTTCACTCATTGCATGTAGAAAGCCCATTGTCCTGGTGCAGTTTCTGTATCCAGTAGACAGGGCAACCTTGTCAAAAGTCAGGTTAGACGTGTTGGCTCACACCTGTAGCCCTAGCACTTTGGGGAGGCTACTTAGGAGGCTGAGATGGGAGGATTGCTTGAACCCAGGAGATCGAGGTTACAGTGAGCTTTGATCACACCACTGCATTCCTGAGTTCGACAACAGAGTTAGACCTTGTTTCAGACCAAAAGTAAATAAATAAGTAGGTCATAGATGTGTGGATTTATCTTAGGACTCTGCCTGCCTGCATTTTAGTACCACATTGTTTTGATTAGTGCAGCTTTGTGATAAGTTTTTCTATTTTACTTATTTTACTTTAATTAATTAATTAATTGATTTTGGAGTACAGTGACACCCTCATGGCCACCACAGTCTCAACCTGCTGGGCTCAGGCAATCCTTCCACCTCAACCTTCAAAGTAGCTGAAACTACAGGCATGCGCCACCACACCCAGCTAATTTTTTATTTATTATAGAGATGAGGTCTTGTCATGTTGCTCAGGCTGGTCTTGAACCTCTGGCCTCCGCCTCCCAAAGTGCAGAGATTATAGCTGAGCCACTGCTTCTGGCTTATTTTATTTTTTTGAGTTGGAGTTTCACTTTGTCAGGCAGGCTGGAGTGCAGTGGCATGATCACAGCTACTGCATTCTCAACCTGCTGGGCTCAGGTGATCTTTCCAAGTGGCTGGAACTACAGGTGTGCGCCACTATGCCTGTCTAATTTTTTGATATATTGTAGAGACAAGGACTCACCAAGTTGCCCAGGCTGGTCTTGAACCCCTGGGCAGTCCTCTTTCCCCCGCTTCCCAAAGTGTTGGGGTTACAGGCATGAGCCCCGCACCTAGCACTATTTTTTTTTATTTTTAGAGCTAAGATAGGGTCTTGCTCTGTCACCAAGTCTGGAGTGCAGTGGCATGATCTTGGCTCACTGCAGCCTCAACCCCCTGGGCTCAAGCTATTTTCCCAAGTAACTGGAACTATAGGCATGTGCCACCACACCTGGCTAATTTATTTTTATTTATTTATTTAATTTTTTTATTTTTTTGAGTTGGAGTCTCACTCTGTCGCCCAGGCTGGAGTGCAGTGGCCCGCTCCTGGCCACCGCAGCCTTGATGTCCTGGGCTCTGGCGATCCTTCTGCTTCAGCCTTCCAAGTAGCTGGAACTACACGCGCACGCTACCATGTCCAGCTAATTTTTTATTTATTGTAGAGACGAGGTCTTACCAAGTGGCCCAGGCTGATCTCGAACCCGCAGGCTCAGGCAATCCACTCGCCTCGGCCTTTCAAAGTGCTAGAATTACAGACTGAGCCGCTGAACCCAGCCAATTAAAAAAAATTTTTTTGTAGAGATGAGGATCTTGCTATGTTGTCCGGGCTGGTCTTGAATTCTTGGCCTCAAGAGATCCTCCTGCCTCAACTTCCCAAAGTGCTGGGATTATCAGGCATGAGCCACCACACTCGGCCTGTGATAAGTTTTAAAATGAAGAAGTGTGAGTCCTCCCTCTTGGGTCCTTTTCAGGTCTGTTTTGGCTATTCAGGGCCTCTTGCACTTCTGTGTGAATTTGAGGGCTGACTTTTCTATATCTGCAAACAAAGCTATTGGAATTTTGATAGGGTTTGCATTGAGTCTGTAGATTACTTTGGGCTGTGTTGATAGCCTAACAATATTAAATTTTCCTGTCTGAGAAGACAGAATGTCTTTGCATTTACTTAGGTCGTCTTTAATTTAACAGTGTTTTATAGTTTTTAGTGTGCAAGTCCTTCACCTCCTTAATTGGATTTATTCCTAAATATTTTATTCTTTTAAATGTTACTGTAGATGCAATTGCGTTTTTTTCTTTCTTTTTTGGATTGTGCATTGCAGTTGTATAGAGACACACTGATTTCTCTGTGTTCATCTTTTACCCTACAACTTGGCTTAATTCACCTGTTAGCTCAGAGAGCTTTCTTGTAGAACTCTATGGGAGTCTCTGCATGTAGGATGACATGGAAAATAGAATGCAGTTAGTTTTGCTTCTTTCCACCTTGAATGTCTTTTCTTTCTTTTTCTCATCGAATTGCTCTGGCTAGAGCTTCCAGTGCAGCATGGAATGGCAGTGGTGAACGTGAACACATAACGGGTCATTTTCTAGAGAAAGGCTTAAGGATGATTCATTAAGTAAGTAGATGTAGTCTAGAGTGGGAGTTGGCAGCCTTCTTAGGTAAATGGCCATAGAGTAAATGTTTTAGCCCCTGTCGGGGGAGAGGCAACTTGGGATTTAAAGTTAGCATTTTTGGTTGTCCAGGTAGAAATGTGGCTTCACGTTCCCACAGGACCTTCCTTGCTTCTCAGACTCAGTGGTCTTTCCTTTCGGGAGCACTCTAGAATGTTTTGTCAGCATCTGTCATGAGCAGTTCACAGACTGCCCTCATATGTCGGGCAACTTTCATGTGGAAGCAGGTGCAGAGATCAGGCTCTGGGGTGTAGGACTCTGGATTTGAATTTCAGCTGAACTACTCATTACCTGTGTGATCTTTGACTTGCTACTTAATCATCCAGAAGTTTTAGTTTCCTCATTTATAAAATGACTACTGTTGTTCATGGGGTTGTCGTAAAGATTAATGATGAGCTAATAAGTGCAAGGATTTATTTTGTTTTTACATTTATTTTTATTTTTAGAGAGAGGATCTTGCTGTGTTGCCTAGGCTGGAGAGTAGTGGCGTAATCATAGCTTACTGCAGCCTTGACCTCCTGGGCTCAGGCAGTCTTTTCTGCCTCAGCCTCCTGAGTAGCTGGGACTACTGCTGTGTGCCACCATGCCTGACTAACCTTTATTTTTTGTAAGTGATGCCGTCTTGCTGTGTTGCCTATCCTAGTCTGAAATCCTTGACCTCAAGAGATCCTTCTGCCTTGGCCTTTCAAAGCATTGGGATTATAGGCGGGAGCCACCTTGCCTGGCCTAAATGCAAAGATGTAGACAGTACAGGAGACATTGTAAAGCACTTTATAAATGTAATTCTTTTGATTTGCTTTCAGCCATTTAAAAACATAAAACCTGCCAGGCATGGTGGTTCACGCTTGTAATCCCAACACTTTGGGAGGCAGAATCCAGAGGATTGCTTGAGCCCAGGGGTTTGAGACCAGCCTAGGCAACTTGGAGAGACCTCGTCTCTACAATAAATCAAAAAATTTGCTAGGTATGATGGCACGTGCCTGTAGTTCCAGCTATTTGGAAGGCTGGGGTGTAAGGATCACCTGAGCCCAACAGGTCGAGGCTGCGGTGACCATGAGCATGCCCCTGCACTTCAGTCTGGGTGACAGAAGGAGACTCAAAAACCCCACAAAAACATAAAACCATGCATAGCTCACAGGATAAACCAAAGCAAGAGGTAGACCCTCCTGTAGTTTGCTCACCCTGATAGACGAGCTCTTGTATCGGGAGAGAATACAAATAAGAGCATCTTTTCTGGAAGGCATTTAGCGGTGTGTTTTAATCTTTTTTTGTTTTGTTTTTTGAATTGAAGTCTCACTCTGTCACCCAGACTGGAGTGCAGTGGAATGCTCACGGCCACCGCAGCCTCAACCTGCTGGGTTCAGGCGATCCTTCCACTTCAGCCTTCTAAGTAGCTAGGGCTACAGGTATATGCCACCACACCTGACTAATTGTTTTTTTTTTTTTTTTTTGAGTTGGAGTCTCACTCCGTCGCCCAGACTGGAGTGCAGTGGCCGCTCCCGGCCACCGCAGCCTCGCTGCTGGGCTCTAGCAATCCTTCTGCCTCAGCCTTGTAAGTAGCTGGAACTACAGACACGTGCTACCACACTCGGCTATTTTTTATTTATTGTAGAGGTGAGGTCTTGCCAAATTACCCAGGTGGGTCTCGAACCCGTGGGCTCAGGCAGTCTGCTCACCTCGGCCTCCCAAAGCGCTGGGATTATAGGCTGAGCCACCGAGCCCGGCCTAATTTTTTTGATGTATTGTAGAGATGAGGTCCTGCTAAGTTGCTTAGGCTGGTCTCAAACCTCGGCTCAGGCAATCCTCTTGCCTCCACTTCCCAAAGTGCTAGGAGATGTGTGCCACTGTGCCTGGCCTTTAATAATCTTTAAGTGGCTTTTTTTTTTTTTTTTTGAGGTGGTGTGATATTATGTTGCCCAAGCTGACCTTGAACTCCTGGGCTCAAGGAATCCACCCACCTCAGCCTCCCAAATATCTGGGACTACAGGTGCATGCTACAGCACCTGGCTGCCATCGAGGCTGGCAATATATCTAATTTTTTTTGCCCTATATTGATCTGTGTTTTGGGGATTTATTCTAACAACCTAATTAGAGATGCACAAGGGATATCACAGCTTTAATTTTAAAAACAAAAATTTAGGCCGGGGTTGGTGGCTCAGCCTGTAATCCCAGCACTTTGGGAGGCTGAGGTGAGTGGATTGCCTGAG